CATACAATTTGCATAAAAAGTATTTATTTCTTGACGCAGCACAGCAATATTCCTGCCATGCTTGTAAAAATAACCCCAGACAATCCAGTGACACGAGAGTACAATTACTGATTTTGTTGAAACTAAAAAAAATAATTTTGAATAACACCTGTTGTGTACGAGTACAGCGATTCTGCTGCTTATAAGTATAGAAAAGCTTAAAGAAATATATTCGTTTTGCAACACAGTGGGGCGCAGTATTAAAGTCTCAGCCCAAACACTACTCTTGTAGTTGACTCCTCATACATACAGAGCTGATGATGAAACTCGGGGACTTCAGTCTAACAGCAGACACATGGACACAGTTCAAGTAATATACATTTTTATATTGAAAGTACAAGTATACAGTAAAATGCATTTCTCCAATCACAAAGATCAAATTTTGCCACAGATTGGTCAGAATTAGGACACAATCACTTACATCATCACAAAATAGAAACATGTGACGCCAGACCCATTGACTCCCTTTTTATAGGCAGAATGTTGATGAGGATGGCCATCTTGCGGTTAAGACTTTCTATTGTGACTTGATTAATCCTTTTTGATAGGTGATTAGCAATGGACAAAAGGAAGTCGGGACCCAACTTATCACTGACAGGTTATAGCAATGGACAATGCGCAAACAGGAGGCAGCGAGCAATTAGCACTGATAGGTAATAGCAATGGACAACCGGACAGAGAGAAGCCAGCTGGATAATGAGAAGTTTGCTGAGTGCGGCATGAAACAACATTAACTCATTCACGTCAACAATACGTTCGGTGATGTAGTTCACGTAATTAGGACATTTATAACTTCTGGTATAATCTGGTAGGAGGTACCTGTTCATGTTACTGTCCGCTTGTCAGCAGATGCTTGGCGAGCTGACATCATTGGTCAGCGTTGGTCACATGACCAATGATAAGTAGGTGTGTAAACAGACCCGAGTATAAATAAAACGACACCAATGTCAGGGATATGTACAGGTGAATGTTGCTTTATTCACAGTATCCACACACTCAGTGATCGCGATAAAACAAGTACCCTTAACCTGTATTAAGCCAGCATAACCTGATATGTTTCAGCTCAATGCAGTGTAAGTGACATCTTCGTGTAATAATGTCCGCACACTCAGTGACAGGGCAATGTACAACCAGATGTCTGCCCAGGGAACATGTAAACGCTGGTAGTGTGTATGGTCGTGCACCTATATGTTTCTACACGAGTGAACCACACGGGTGCCCTAGTGTGTGTGTCACCCAGATTGACGCCTGTCGTATAACTTCCGGGTAGATATTACAGATCCAGGTATGGCGTCTCGTGCAGTGATTTTTGTATTGATTGTATATCTCTCTGCTTGGCCCTCTACCATTGGTAAATATCTGCTTCTTCAATACAAAGAATGGTTTCTGTGAATATTGACATCCCTGATACAATACTTCTGTTACAGACAGCTGTCCTGATGGTACATACGGCTACCAGTGTCATTGTCTACCTCTGATACACTACTTCAGTTACAGGCAGCTGTTCTGATGGTACATGTGGCTACTGTCATTGTCTACCTCTGATACAATACTTCAGTTACAGGCACCTGTTCTGATGTTACATACGACTACCAGTGTCACTGTCTATCTCTGATATAGTACTTCAGTTACAGACATCTGTCCTGATGGTGACCGGTGTCACTTTATGTCTCTGCTAGATACAATACTTCAGTTACAGGCAGCTGTCCTGATGGTACATACGGCTACCAGTTTCACTGTCTATCTCTGATACAATACTTCAGTTATAGACAGCTGTCCTGATGGTACATACCAGTTTCACTGTCTGTCTCTGCTAGATACAATACTTCAGTTACAGGCAGGCTGTCCTGGTGGTACATAGGGCTACCAGTGTCACTGTCTATCTTTGATACAATACTTCAGTTACAGGCAGCTGTTCTGATGTTACATACGACTACCAGTGTCACTGTCTATCTCTGATACAATACTTCAGTTACAAACAGCTGTCCTGATGGTACTTAGGCCTACCAGTTTCACTGTCTGTTACTGATGTAATACTTCTGTTACAGGCAGCTGCCCTAACGGTACATACGGATACCAGTGTGGTTACAGATGTAACTGTGACCAAGACAAGTGTGATTCTACTTCCGGCTGCAGTGCGCCAGCCTGTTACCCAGGATGGACGGGTCTGACATGTCAGAAACGTATGTAACTACAGCAGCACAACTACTGACATCGTACTGAGACTGTAAGGCTTGCTCATCCTCACGGGTGTCAACTTACTAATATATTTCTCGGCTTTCAACAACTGATTCAGATGCCATAACCCAACACTCATTCAGCAGTCATATCGCTAAGGGGTCACATACATCAACAATCATTAATTTGGCAGTCACAGAATGTATGTGTCATTAATGTAATCTATTCGGTGTCTCATGAGGCTCGGTGCTTCCATTTTGATTGGACAGATATTTTGTTGTAGCAGAAATACGAATATGGATAACAGTGAAGCGTTGCTTTTTTAACCAGAAGCCATGTATGCCCTTGCAATCACTCGATACTGAGTAATTGTGCAAATACCCATTGTTACGTTTTGATTTCCAACTTGAAACAATATGTTAACCCAGAAATCTGCACGTAAAAGACTTTAGTGTGAAACCAACCAACAACCAACAAGTGGATTACTAGGATTACAAATCAATACAAATTACTGCACATCAATAACAATGACAGTACACACTAGAAGTTGTACAATACTGAATGACAATGTATGATATGATGGCAGTGGTCAGTATCAAATACAAAAATACCGTGGTGAGAGCAAAACATAATAGTATATTTACCAAGCGGCGACAGTGGTGAATCTTCCGAGATGGCCTCAGCTGGGAATCTGGGGTGATTCACAATTAAACTGGTCTTGATGTACTGAAATGTGTAAGAGATACGGTATACACGGTCTTTTCCCTTACATAGTCATACTAGCTTCTGGCAATTTCTACACAGTGCCACCACAAAATATTCTACATGTAACACTCTATTTCAGTCCACGGTATACCGGAAGTTTTACACATCACATTAGCATCTAAATATAGTTATAACTTTCTCAAAACTGCTGACGATAAATAGTACCACATTCCGTAGAGTGAGTGAGTGAGTGAGTGAGTGAGTGAGTGAGTGAGTTTTACGCTTCTTTTTGCAATATTCCAGCAATATCACGGCGGGGGACACCAGAAATCGGCTTCATATAGTGTAGCCAGCAGAGGCCCATTATTGCAACAGCGTCAGAGAACATAATCAACTCTCCTTTCACAAAATATAATGGAGACATCAAACAATAGAATATTCCACCTGTTTCTATAACGCCTTTTTTGATATAACGTTCACAATGTATCTAAATATAGTAACTTCCTCAAAACTGCTTACATTAAATAGTACTACATTCCTGACAAAGAAAAATGCAACGAGCTTTAACCGATCTCAACAGAAACAATGTTATTCAGCTATAATAATTGTTTAACAATAAAATACACTGCCCCATAACACCACTGATCATTCTGAACTATTGGATCTAACTATGTTTGGTTAAAGTATGTACATGGATTCACGCCTCTTTCATTCATAAATGTCAGAAGAAATACAGAAAACCAGAGTAACACAGATACAGACGTGCGGCCTGCTACAAAGTGGTGGTGGTGAGAATAGTAGTTCTTTTAATAGCCAAGAGACAACCTGCCAACTTCCCACTTCGTTTATTCATCAGACGACAAGTGACAATCGGTAGCCAAGCCTGAGCACGTATTGCACGTGCGTTGCATAACAATGTTTTCCGAAACGCTAATAATATTACATGAACGACTTCTGTTTACCATCAGAATTTATCAAACAAAACCTAATCTTTTACACCCCCCCTAAAAATATACAAAAAAACGTATCATGAAATAATAGAACGATCTTACAGCCGTTTTTAAAGCAAAGTATCCAAATCAATGTCAATCGTAGAAACACAAATGTCACACTGACCTAAAATGTGGCCAGTAGGTCAATACCTTAATCCAGTGTCAACACACGAATACACTTAATAAGGTCACCATGACACAGGGAAGTTACAGGGTCTGTGACCCAGGTCTTTAGGATCGCAAAAGTGTTAATGTAACGCTTACAGTTCAATAAGACACTTAACTAGGTCACCATGACACAGGGATGTTACATTGTCTGTGACCCAGGTATTTAGGATCCCAAAAGTGTTAATGTTTCACTTACAGTTAAATAAGACACTTAACTAGGTCACCATGACACAGGGATGTTACAAGGTCTGTGACCCAGGTCTTTAGGATCCCAAAAGTGTTAATGTAACGCTTACAGTTCAATAAGACACTTAACTAGGTCACCATGACACAGGGATGTTACAAGGTCTGTGACCCAGGTATTTAGGATCCCAAAAGTGTTAATGTAACGCTTCCAGTTCAATAAGACACTTAACTAGGTCACCATGACACAGGGATGTTACAAGGTCTGTGACCCAGGTCTTTAGGATCGCAACAGTGTTAATTTTACACTTACAGTTCAATAATATTACATGTACGACTTCTGTTTACCATCAGATTTTATCAAACAAAACCTAATATTTTAGCCCTGTTCCAATATTGACACGTGTATGTAGTAAGTTAATTAAACTATCCATACGCAGAAATGGTTCTCCTCCTTTTCAATTCCAATATATTTAATGGCCTTGATTCAATTACAATATGGGTTGCTTTCCTAAAAATGACCACATATTTTTGATCGTTTATTAAGAAACTATTTCAGATAGCATTTTTGTCTGTGTCGATTTCACAAAGCAAGAAACAAACTCTTTGGATCCCGGTATACAGGACATACCAAACAATCGTATGTGTGCAATGTCTGTATGTATTACCTCAACCAGACAAACAACGGTCCTTTAACCCAGAGGGTTAGCTTTCAAACGTATGCGTGTTGTTGTGACAAGAAAGAAAAAGCCTGTTTCTAACAAAAGAAATCAAACCCCTGGAATGTGAAACAGCCAGCAATCCGCCCATAACAAGTCTGGTGTTGTATTAAAGAATGTGAAATATGTGTGATGTATGTAAGTCTAGTTAATGGGCAGAAGTCTTAATGTAAGGCAATAAAAGAGACCAGATTCTGCGGAACACCGCTAACTGTAGATATCGAATACAAACAAATCGAATAAATTGAAAGAAGTATCTTGTTCATGCATTTTCCAGATAATGTTGCGAGGACGAAAGTTACATCATCCAGTGGAGAGGGTCCTTACCCATTATCCCGGGCCACGGACGGAAGCACTGCTGCACACTCGTATGATTTCTGTATAGATACAGCGCCCAGCAACCCCAACTGGTGGCGTGTGGATCTCAATGACACAGTGCTGATACGTGAGGTCACCATCTACTTCAGAACTGACTGTGAGTTTATTGTCAGCTGCAATCGATAATGCTGGGTTAATTGTTAGTTTGTGAGAATCTATTGTTGGCTGTTTAACGTTTATACAACGTGCGTCTTTTTCTTCAAGACAGTGTTGAATACGTTCATGTGGCTATATGTGTGCGATTCCCTTCCTGTGACTTTACTGAAGCAATTATTCCAGACAAACCTAGAAGGAATGGTATCCAGGTGTACGTGACCAACTCCACTGATGCCCCCAGTGGTCAAAACTGCTACAACGTAACAGGAGGAAGTGATGGAAGTGGCATTGCTGACGTCACACGGGCACCTTGCTCTGGCACGGGGCGCTACATCTTGCTTTACACAACAGTGCACAATGCTGGCGACACAAGTATCAGTCTGCCTGAACTTGACTTTTGTGAGGTGGAAGTAGACGGTAAGCTAACACTACTGTGTCATATTTTGTAATAGTACTATAGGCGCTCCAAGCTCGGATACAATGATTTTACAGTAATGAAAAGCAGCGACTTAAGGCAAGCCAACATTATGACCACACATACATTAACTCAACAAGAAATATAAAGTGTTGTAAATGAACTTTGCAAATTCATCGTTTTGAAATTTGTCCCTTCAATACATGTTTTTGAAAAAAGTCTCGGTTAACCATGATCTCTGCTGCATTTCGCTTGATCAGTGCCACATGTTTATATAAAATTCTCATTCAAATTATGTTAAGGTAAGATCATCTGTGCGCGAAATAGGTTAGTTTGTCCTCTTCATGTATAATTATCTATACATAAGCGTCATGCCTTCGCTTTCGTGAACAATCAGAAAAAACCCGAATGTTTGTCATCTCTTGAGTAGCAGCGTTTTCTTAGACCTAGAATCATATAAATATTTATATAGAATACTGATGTTGTGTAGTAATTCTGCTTCACGACCTTTACATGTGATTACTTCTGCAAACAGATTCATTCTTACAAATGTTTATAGAAACCGATATAATACATGTAAAGCTCTATGTTGTGTGATGTAAGAGCCCAACATCCATTTGACAGTGTGTGGTCCTGGTACCTTCGGCTCTGACTGTGACAACTACTGCCACTGTGACGGCGAGGTGTGTAACTATGTGAGCGGCATCTGTCCAAGTGGAATGTGTATGCTGGGCTGGTTTGGCAACAGTTGCAATATCAGTGAGTTAAGAACCAATAGCAACTACCCATGACTAATGCGTGAATAATCACCATTCAGTAGAATAGAAATACAAACAATCAAACTAAACTAATCTCCAAAAAGAAGGTCTACCAACTGAACTATTTCCCACTATTTTGATAACTTAATAATTCATATATGAATTAAGACTTAAATATGTGTCACTAATACAAACAAATGTACTCGTTAACAAAAAGCAAGACAAATATAAAATTTTGCCACAACGACTTTGGACTAGGTAAAAGGAAATGCATGTGTAAAAGTATTTTTTAAAACTGGTGACATGGCACGTTATGGACACATCAACCAAAAGCACCAAGAAAGAATGCCACATTTAACAGCTATACAGAGATAAAGAGCCGTTGTTATGGTGCAATAAAGGCCACGCAAGAACCTTTTTATGCACCCGCGTCACCATGACCAGTTTGATGCAACGTTTACAACAGACTCGGCAGACATCAGACAGACGTGGAAGTGGAAGACCGCCACATCCGGACCATTCATTTCCCAAACCGCTTCATTACAGCTGGGCATCGATGGCACTGGGGTCCGTCTACAGACAGTATAGAGGAGATGGAGAGAATGTGGTATCAGAGCAAGTTGACCTTACCGAGGTTAACATGTCAACACCGACGTAACAGGTTATCATGGCAAGTTCGATTTTGTCAAGTGCTAGACTGGGGACGTCATGTTCTTCATTGAGAGTAGATGTTGCTTGTACAGAAATGATTGTCGGCAGCGAGTTTTCAGACGAGTAAGTGAAGGCGCTAGAATGTGTTCAGCAAGTTCAACCATTTGGAGGCGGTAGCATCATGGTCTGGGGAGGTATCTGAGGTGATGTCAAAACGAGGCTCGTTATCATCAGTGTAACCCGAATGCCCAGAGATATGGGGATGAAGTTTGGACATCCGTTGTGAAACCATACATTCAGCAACAATCAAGTGTCATTGTCTTCCAGCAAGACAATCAGTGACCGCATACGGCAAGGCTTTCGCGAACATTCACGTTTTACCCTGGCCAGCATTTTCTCCTAATATGAACCTCATCGAACATTTATGGGATCACCGACAGATCAGAACACCAGCGACTCCAGTCAGCTGTCAATAATTCGAACAATGTCTCGTTGAGGAATTGCAGCACAACGTTATTCGACGTTTGACGTAATCGGTGCATTGTCGTGTTACGGCGTGCATTATTGCACATGGTGGGCCTATTTGGTATGTTGTGACAGTGATTTTTACCCCCGTGTGTCTTTGTGTCCCAGTCCGTCGTAAAGATTATGTTTGCATAACATGAGCAGTTGTACCCAATATACTAAAGACCCGGGAAGATTCCAGGGTAGAATAGGTCTTCAGCAACCCATGCTTGACGTAAAACGTGACTATGCTTGTCGTAAAAGGCGACTAACGGGATCGGGAGGTCAGGCTCGCTGACTTGGTTGATGCATGTCATTGATCCCCATTTGGTGGATCGATGCTCGGGATATTAATCACTTGATTGTCTGGTTCAGACTCGATTATTTACAGACCGCTGTCATATAGCTGGAATATTGTTGAGTGCGGCGTTAAACAACAAACCAACCAATATACTAAAACACAACTCTTATGAAATATTTACTTATTGATTTTCAACATGCTTTTGTTTTTCTTTCATAGTCTTCAAACTCTTGGTATACTTTCTTTTGGACATTAGCTTACATTCACAAAAGGATTTGGATGAATTCTTATGTCGTAATGTTCAACAATGGTGGAATTGGACCTTTTATAAACGTATTTTACACAATTTATTTGTTTTATGGAAATTGCCATATCCTCTGTATCTCCTGTTTCAGCATGTCTCACGGGAGAATACGGACGACGCTGCTCCAAGCGATGCACAGACAGAATGTGTAAGGACAACACCTCCAGCTGTAACCATGCAACTGGTGAATGTTTAGGAGGATGTCTGGCAGGCTACCAAACACCGGACTGCACACAGGGTAAGGATACATCTAGTATCTAGACCAGCATTTTGAACAGATGTATTCTGTAAAATAGTTTTAACAATTTGAAAAACAACAACATATATTTGAAATTCAGACACAGTAAACAATGTATATTTCTACGAAGAATGCGTCGATACGTATGGAGAGAACTGCACAAGAAGCTGCTCAGTCAGACATTGTAGAGACACGCCACAATCTGTATGTGATCACGTGACTGGATGGTGTAAAGGAGGCTGTAGTCCCGGATGGAAAGATGTCGATTGCACAACAGGTTAGAGATGTGGAAATATTCTGTTTGGAAACAATATGATCGGATTAAATCTCATGGCACATCAATTGATGATCAATGTTTCGCATCGCATCGCATCTCACATCTTACCCCTCGAATCAAGTTATTCTTAAATAAAATATAATTCAACTCATTTTTTGCCTTTTTCTGTGCACGTGGTACGTTTGACTTGTTATTAATATCTGTTTATTAAATATACCAATAGGCTGTGTCCAAGATGTGGAGTATTGTGCCGGATGTACAGGCAACTGCAGTGCCCGGATGTGTGAGGGAGGGTCGGGCTCCTGTCCCCTGGACACAGGCTTGTGTAGTGATGGGTGCCAGTCAGGATGGACAGGAGAGGATTGTACTCAGAGTGGTATGTAATGTCAAGATGTTAAAGGTGGACACTGCGCACGAAGTATGTGATAAACGGTATATGTGATACTACATGCATTTCATATGCGAATCTATCGATTTGCAGAGGGGCGGTAGGGTAGCCTAGTGGTTAAAGCGTTCGCTCGTCACGCCAAAGACCCGGGTTCGAATCATGACATAGGTACAATGTGTGAAGCCCATTTCTGGTGTCCCCCGACGTGATATTGCTGGAATTTTGCTAAAAGCGGCGTAAAACCATACTCACTCACTCACTCGATTTGCAGATGTGTTGATGGTCTAACCGAAGCGTCAATTTTAATCTTTGTTCACGTAATGTTAAAGAACAAGTTTGAAATAACACAAGTAAAATTGAATCAAATATCAAAAATCAACAAGCATTCATAAACTAAATACATATATATCTATAAACATTGTGTGTGTGCGTGCGTGCGCGCAAGCGAGCGAGGGAAATGGGTAAGTCTGACCTCTAATGTCAGTTCTCATCCTTTGTAAATAAGCAAAAAAATCCCTTTCTGAAATCTCTGCATAAAGCAGAATCGATTGTACGATTCCGAATATCATAAGCATGTGTTTATGACTCACTATGACATAGTAATGATACCAGGTGTTCGCAAAAAGGTGGCACCCGTCACAAACACATGCAAAGGAAAGTCAATTGTTCACCTAAAAAAACCACGGGAATATTAGTACAAGTCCAAATAGCGAATTGCATCAGATATAATTTTTGTCACTGATGCGTCATATTTGGAAAATGTCCTCTACATGTCTACCATAAAACTTTTTGAAAGCTTGAGGCCTTGAATGTTGTAACAACTCCTGACGCTCTTTGAAATCTTGGTAAAAGAGCATGCTCGATTGTATCTCAAAAGTTTTGAAATGAAAACACCAAAGTCTGGAGCTGCTGGAATAATACTCGACATAAAGGGAAATTTGACTATTGAACAGTTGAAGGCATCTCTAACAAATCGAATGTTTTGACAGAATAGAACTTGGTTCATTTCTGGGGTTGAAAGAACACAAGAAAATCCTTTTTGGAGAAACATCATAATCTGCCTTTGAATTCTTGGTGATATTGTGAAATTAATGTCTTTCATCTCACAAATCAATGTTCCAAGTGTATTGTTGATAAATATTTGTTTTAAAAAACCTGTAAACCCTCAAAACAAGCAAGTGTGTTTTATTGATGACACACCTCCTAAGCACAATTCAACATCAGCATTTCAGTTCACTCAGAATTTACCTGTTGACCACAAGTGCATTGGAGTTATTTATAAGAATTTATGCCGGCGTAGACGTTTCTTTAGCATAGGAATCATTTTACTTAATAGGTGTGAGCAGTTTGTCTTCAGTCACAAGTATATCCCCAGCAGTAGCTGGCATCATTGGGTCTCTCACTATGCTGGTGGTCTTGGTCGTGGTTGAAGGCATGGTCTGTCTGTGGAGGAAGGGAGACTTCAGGTGCGTTAACAGGTGAGCAGGTGGTAGTTATATATGTTATATGATGATGAAAAAGAAGAACTTTGTGCTTAGTTCCAGTTGCAGGATATTTTGAGGAGCAATAATAGTAATTATAGTGATCGGAGCAACTGTGAAGCATTCACTAGCTGGAAGTACTTTCAAGTGTAATTTATAGAGGGAGTTCATTCCAGAGAACTTATGCGCTACAGAAATAAGATCCTTGGCCAAAATTTTCAGATTACCTCCTTGGGATCGTTAGTAGATGGAATACAAAAGCATCCGAGTTGATACTGATTCCACAAATGAAAGGTAAATGTCGAATGTAGCCACGCGTGTGCAAACCCACAGAACACTTACTGATGTGTACATGATTCTGTAGAAGTGTTTACGAAGGGCATTTTGATTTTATTGTAAATGTTCATTTCAGGATGAACAAGGAGACACCAAGACAGAATTCTAGCACACCTGAGACAAGCCCCGCCCCTCCTGCAGAACTCCCCACGTATGATGTCCTGCCTGATCAAGACTACACCAAGCTGGACAGGATCCACACGGAACATTATGAGACGTTACAGCCTACAGTTGACTATCAGAACAGTGATGTCCGCATCTAGCTGGACAGGATTCACACGGAACATTATGAGACGTTAAGTCTACAGTTGACTACCAGAACAGTGATGTCCGCATCTAGCTGGACAGGATTCACACGGAATATTATGAGACGTCGCAGCCTTCAGTTAATTACCAGAACAGTGATGTCCGCATCTAGCTAGACATGGTCCACAATGAACATTATGAGACGTTACAGCCTACAGTTGATTACCAGAACAGTGATGTCCGCAGCGAGTGTGGGAGTTGTGTTAAACCTCTGAGAGCCTACAGCTTCGAATAATTGAGAATACTTTATAATAACCTCAGTTTACTGGAATTTCATGAATAAATTCTGTTTGCTTTCAATTCTTTAATTCTTGTAGGAAGTGTCACTTAAATCTCTTAAACTACTACTCCTACTACTACTCCTACTACTCCTCCTCCTACTATTACTACTACTACTACTATAACTGGAAATTTGCCGAGTGCGGCGTTAAACAACGAATAAGCAGCCTACTACATATTAGATATTAACGACTTCACTACAGATTGTGTATTAGGTGTGATTATACAGAGTCGAAGCACTGGGTTTACCCGTCTATATCAGCAGAGGGCACAGGTGACCCAGGCGTCTAAGGTGCTGCAGTTCTCTGAGCAGAGTTGCGTCCCTTAGGCGTGCTAAAACCTATGATCATGCGCTCGGCATGAAAATATCTTTTGGTTTGTCAACGCCATACTGTTATAAACGTCTTAGACCTGCATCTCCTCTGTTGCTCCAGTGTAGTATTCAATTGTGGTAGAATTCACTTTTCGCTCATAAGATACGTTTTATAACAACTCGTTGTAAGATGAATGGTATCTGAAGTCCCTCTGTAGTGTTCTCTATTATACTGGACCAGACAAACCATCAGGGTATGGTGGTAGGAAGGCCACACACAATGTTCTGGTTGAGTATTTATTGATGTCAACCAATGACTGGATTCTTACTCCACTTTTCTTCACCCACTACATGTGTCATAACATCTTATAACTTCGAGTTTTCACTATGACGTCAAAGACGACAGAGAGGCATACATGCGCACAAAGAAAAGGGGACTCTGATATGCTTCCAACTAGGCCATTGTAACTCAGCTCTCCTGGTCCTAATTTGCTATGGATCCCGACAATATCTTTTCCTATTCATTTCTTCATGACTAACGAAACTGTACCAACACAGATATCGATACGGAAACCGTAACGCTTTTTAAGCGTGACAAATCATAACATTTACTCTTCAAAACAAGAAACTTGACACCATCTTTCAAAATTGAAGATAAAAACGGTCTTTGAAAATGGGATTCAGAAACCATAATTGAAACACCGTGTTAGGATCAATGTACACAATGTTCAAAACATTAATCTTGTCGCTCAGACAGACACACGCACACAATAGATTTAATGTCACAGGGGTACAGGAAATGTTTGTATAGCTTGTGACCACCACGTGCAGCAATTACTGCTTGACACTGACGACCCACAGATGCAATGAAGTTGTGAACAACATTAACATGTGCAGCCATTCATGCTGAAGTGCCACAAGAAGCGTAGTAGGAATTGTCCTTCTATGAACGCGTCGATCCAACTCGACCCACAGATGCTTAATCAGGGATAAATCTGGTGACCGGGCTGGCCAAGGTAATGTCTGGATGTTGTTGCGCTGTAGAAAGTCGTGACAAACACGCGCTATATGCGGTCGAGTGTTGTCTTGCTGGAATTGCCCACCATGAACGTTGAAGTGAGGCAGAACGTAACGCTGTAGGATTGAGTCTCTGTAACGCACGGCTGTCAATGTATCTGCCACATGCACGAGAGACATCCCACTAACATGATGAATTCCGGCCCATATCATGACACTCTCACCGCCAAATGGGACAACCTGCTGCACACAATTGGGGGTGTAGACGTTGCTGTCGTAGTGCGTTCTTGTAGGTGTCGCAGCCGGATGTATCGATCTTGTGCTGGTATTGTCACCCTTGGTCTCCATGACCATGGTCTGTCGTCAACTCTGTTGGTGTTGTTGTACCAGGTCCATAACGCGGAGATTGTCTGGTCTGAGTTGCACAAGCTTGCAATCTGCCAATGGCGTTGTGACGTTGAGCTGTATTACGTCTTGGCATTCTGTCACCGCGTCTACTGACGTTATAAGGTCTGTATGAACGCCCGTTGATGTTGTTTTTTTACCCCTTTAGCAGGGGAGCATGCATGCATAAATGCAGGATTCTGTGCTGCACATTGTTTGCAGCCGGTGGCGTTTGTAAAATGTAAAATTGATCCCCAAACGCTACATTAATGTGGTTTGGATGTGTTTCTGTGAATTGTGGAAACATCTTCCTTCTGTTTGATTAATTCTAATCACATTTTATTTAATGATTTGGGATATTTTAAGAGAGGTGGATTTACATCTATGTCAAGTTTCTTTTTTGAAAGAGTATATTTTATATTAAAATTATATATTATTATATTTAAAATGAATTTGCTATTTAACAGCCCAACATTAGAAACATTATGCAAAGTATCTCGGTTGTGTAAAACTACGATAAAGTTAAAATCTGTAAGAATATTTCATAAATGTTGCACAAATTTCTATATTTTTGGTCACCTTATCTGACTTCTCGGAAAATATGTTTATGAGATCATAATATTGTTTTTACATACATAAGTTTTTGTATCAGATCAGATCTTGAATTGTAGCTCTTATGTCTCTACATCGCTCTGGCCCAAATCTCACACATGACTAATTCAACCATGCTGTCGGACAAGGGGGCGTTACTTGCCAAAGTTGGAGCGAAAGCTGATGATTACCCGAATTACATAACAGGATTCTGATCAAGCATTGATAGGGCCATCAATAAAGGTAACTATGGTCTCATGTTGAAGGATTCACCAGAAGTTGCAAAACTCCACAAAATTATCAAATCCAAAAACGAATCCCCAGGAAAAGGAAAATTAATAAAGCAGATCCAATGTCCCTCGATGAAATCCGGAAGAAACTGAGCGATGTAGGCCAACTTGGTTCTGACACACCAGAGTTCCTTTTGTCAGTCCGATGTTTCGTGAAAAGGCCGCTTTTTGTGAAGAGATACGTCAGAAATATTGAAGGTGGATTGGAATAATATCTGGAGACGTTTGCACTGAATGTGATTATGGGTAAGAAAGATAATTACCAACTCGAAACTGTTACGGTTTATTAAAGTTTGTCTTTCCCAAAGGAAATAACGTCACTGATCTGTGACATTATGTCCCGAGGACGAGACATGTGAAATTTCTACGCATTTCAAAGGATTAAATAATGCCCAAGACGAATATATCCGATATACGACTCTAACTGGTAACATATGATGGCAGGGTGTTTCAGTTGTAAAGTAAATATGAGCAAAATTGCTATGAATTTATGTACAACATTTTCATTTTTTAGATATCAGCCAGCCCCTGCTTTCTCTTTACAACCCAATGCAGACTATTCAAACACATTCTATTACACAACGTCATTGTAGGACACATCGACCTACTTCCTGGTGTACATGTTCACTCGTCATGGAGGGGCACACAGTCGGTGTCCTGCTGTGGATCTGTGTCTGTGTGCTGGACGTTGGAGCAGGTAGGTGCTCAACAATGTAAAAGGAACGGTTCTTCATAAAGTATGAAGAGCCACACTAATAATACATATACATCTGGGCTCTTCGTTTTTTTGTTTTTCTGACAGTGCTCATTTGTTCAGTGGCGTTGTGCAGGTATTTTTCTATATTCTATTCCAAAGCAATGTCTTCCTCTCGAACTCGTAGCAGGACACTGTTCAGTTTCACTTATAGTTAAAGAGGTACCAGACATTTCATCTACTATATTTATTTTTAATGCAACACCAGATGGCAGAAATATATTGCATTTATACAATACGTGGCGTCGGGCACCGACAATGTGGCTCTTTGCTCATGATAGGGATCACTGGTTTGTCTGGTCAATTTTTACTGGTGGACGTTGTACGGAAGGAATATTCTATGACAATTGTATGAGTGGCTGTGCTGCCGAGAAAGATTGATAAACTTACCCTTTTCCCGAGCACATGGTGTCATCACTGATTTTTAGTGATCTATTTATATAGTTGTTATCACTATTTTGCCTTTTACGGTGACTGGAATCTGTTTCGGCAGATAATCGAGATTGGTTGTTTTCTGGCATTGAAGTTTTAAATCTTTATGAAATGATTTCTTATATTATCTTTTCTTAAAAGCGTTGCCAGTCGTCAAATACAAAAGAATACGAATGGTTATATATAATTACAATAGGCAGAACTTCGTTTGTTCAGCACTGACTTTCTACCTGATGTTAGATTCTACTCCGTTTGTATGAGGACAATGTGACCCAATTGTAAAACCACAACCCCGTAACTGTAACCGGTTACACCCCTTTTGAACCTGTATTGAGCATTGTTAGCATAACATAAGCATAGTAAGTCGGTCTACTCTCTATACACGTTATCCTATGTCAGAAAGGAATCCGCAACTTGGGCGTTACAAATTATATTAGAACACTACACCACATAGCAACCGATCTACTCTCTGTACACATTATCCGATGTCAGAAATGGCTCTGCGTCTTTGGCTTTGGCAAGTCATGTCTTTAACACTATCTATCGCTTTGCCCTGACAGGGTCCGTATCAAAGTTCTGCAGAGCATGATGAAACAGACATGTTCTGAATAGGGAGACACAATCTCATTGAAATCAGATCTTAGTTTTCGCTGCTGCTAAACAAAGATCTGAGGACATCCCATTAGGGTCACGTCAGAACGACCTTTCGCGAATTTTGACCGACCAGTGAAATGACTGACAAGAAATTGACATTAGGCAATCAGAAGGCAGCTTTCTCGAGCTTTATGACACTAGTTTCAAACTGGCGACTATGCTTCGAAACATATTTTGACGTATTCTCGATTTTAAAGAAATAAAGCTGATGAGAACATTCTGTTTTATAGATGGCCTGGATTATATGGATTTAATCATAAAACCCGTAACTGTCGTTCGGAATACCCCATGTTAAATATTTCTTGGTCCGACTGTCACTTTCATGATCTGGTAAGCGACGCTCTGATTGGTTGGATGAAGGGTCGTTCTGACGTGACCCTTATTTGGATGTCTTCAGATCTTTGTTTAGCAAAGCGAGAACTCAGATCTGATTTTAATGAGATTGAGGGAGACATAACTAAAGAGTCCACAATGCAGGTTTGTTGAGAGTTTTGTGTACTGTGTACAAGCACTTCTTGCTAACATATTGCATTGCACATAAAATGCAGGCATCACGATCATCAATGCACGCCCAGGCTCACTGTCT